CGGCAAAGGCATACAGCATACCCTGTGTATTTGGATTTTGTTTTCTTTCTACAATCGAGGAAACACAACATCAGTCTGATGATTTCCACTTCTGCGAACCTTACATTACTTAAAGACTGGAAACCAGAGTATTTAAAAGCATGAGCCACGATGATGAAAATTCTGAAAGTCTAGTCAAAAGAATAATGACCAGGCAAGTTTATTTTTAAAAACCTCTAGTTATTTTCAGGTCATTGAATTTTACAACGTTACCTATTATTTTGGAAAGTATATATCATGTATTTTGAAATACAGATTTCAAAACAGGCAGCCCTGTTCTCCAAGCTGTCATGGGAGAGGGAGGCACTGCATGGCTACAGCCCCTCAGCTGCTGCAGGTCTCAGCTCCAAGCACTGGTGTCTACCTTCACTGAGATGTCCTTGACATTTTTAAGAGTCATTTTGTCATAAAATGCTACATGGAGACAAGGTTTCATTTAACTACCTCCCCACAAGTAGAGGGTCAGCACTGAGACTGTCCTGTGCTGGGTGTTTTGTGAAAGGAGAGCTGAGTGGGCTTTGCTGAGGCAGCTGTAGCAGGGCCAGTCAACTCAAATTAAAGGCTTTACAGACAGTGACGTGCTTGTATGTGACCAAGTCAGCGACAATGTACAAATTAAAATTAACAGAACTAGCAATGTTTGACCATGAGATTCAGAAAACAAGTGAAAAGCAGCCTCAGCTTCCTTCTGAGCCACATTTAAGGCCTTTAAATATTTATCACTACAGCAAAACCATTTTAAAGGTGTATGTACACAGCATATACGTCACTACCACTATTGTAAATATCAACAGAGGTTCACCAGCACTCTGCAAAGGAATCAAATATCCAGAAGCTTACGAAGTTTTACAAACTGCTAAATTGTCTTCACATCCATTTCTCCATTACATATGAATAAATAAAGAGTGGTCAAACAGAGAGGAATAGAAACCATAAAGGCCAGTTCAACAACAAGTGTCAGCAGAGACTTCACTACAGAGATATCGCTACTGAGCTCAAGTGAGTATTTTTTATTGTTGAGCCTATTCTATGAGAAGGAAAACCAGATCAAAATCAGCTTTCAAAATGCAAGGTGACATCCCAGTAAAGAAATTAAAAAAAAAAGAAAGAAAAGAAAAAATAAGAACGAATGAATCAAAAAGTAATCACTCCTACACTGCTGGCAGCTACTTGAGAGAGTTACAGATTTATTTAGATTTATTAATTCAAAGGTCTGCCTGAAGAGGGAGAGATTATGAAAAAAGTAAAATATCACTGACAATTAATTCATCTCCTTGTTCCCTCTGCTCCCCACTCTTGCCAAGTTAAAGAAAGAAGGTCCTACTTCCGATCAACTGATATAACCTTAACTTATTCACAAAGCAGGTAACTAGTACATCCAGAAGGAAAGAATGGATGCTGCGTATCAGCCTTCTCACTCCCTAATTTCACAGTAAAGGATGCTACACACATTTATCCCATCACCTGGCTCAATCACAGGCAGCTCCTTCACACCCTCTCAGCACCAGCAGCAAAGCCTTCCCCACACACCTTCCCAGGCACCTGACGGCTTCCCGGGAGAGCGGGCACACAGAGCCCCCTGCCCAGCCCCCCGGCACATCCCGCCGTTTCCGAGCCACGGGCTGGGCAAAACCCACCTGCCGCTTGACTTTTCCGGGGTCCTGAGTGAGGGGGCATTTTTTTGTTGAGGGTTTGGAGAAGGCTCTCCGAGATCCCTCCAGCCCCACTCTGCCGACATCCCCCGCCTCAGGCGGCTCCAGCCGGTCAGGGCGGCCCTTCTC